ACCCTTGAATCACTGCAAATCCGGGAACTTGACCAGCTGAGGTCCGAAATTACAACACCTTCATTGTCATTTTCATTTACACCCACATTTCACAATGAGACTCATAGTCAGGCCAGACGATAGCTCTTCTTCTGCCTACGTCGCGGGGTATATATTGGGTATGCACATGGCCTCTACCTTCCATCTTGCAGTTTCTATGGCGAGCCTTCAGCACTGTCTGACTCCCTCACGTAGATCGCATTCGAACGTTCGAACCTACCCCAGAGAAGCCTTTCGTACTTGGCCTTCCCACGGGAAGCAGCCCGACGGCAGTATATGAGATATTGGTATCAGAATATAAAGCCGGCCGCATCTCTTTCGAGAATGTTAAGACATTCAACATGGTGCGTCCGAACTCAGCCAGCGCCCCCGATCCTTGTTAATAATCGTCCATCATAGGATGAGTACATTGGTATTCCTGAGGACCATCCCGAGTCCTATCATAGCTATATGTTCAAAAACCTCTTCTCCCATGTGAACATCAAGCCTGAAAACGTACACATCCTCAACGGCAATGCGTCCAATCTGGATGAGGAGTGCACTCAATACGAGGCCAAGATCAAGGAAGTCGGTGGTATCGAGCTGTTCTTCGGCGGTGTAGGTCCCGATGGGCATATTGCGTTCAACGAACCTGGATCCAGTCTGGCCTCTCGCACGAGGGTCAAGACATTGGCCATGGATACCATCCGCGCTAATGCACGTTTCTTCGACGGCGATATTTCGAAAGTCCCCCAGATGGCGCTGACTGTAGGCGTCCAGACCATCATGGAGGTATGTCAATCCTGTCTGGCTTCTGCCTCTGCTTGTTCGCTGAAGGAATGCTCCAGGCCAAGGAGGTTGTGATCATTGCCAACGGCGCATCCAAAGCCTTGGCGCTGCAAAAGGCTGTCGAAGGCGGTGTCAACCACATGTGGACTCTTTCTTGCCTTCAGCTGCACCCATACTCCATGATTGTTGCGGATGAGGATGCTTCGTTGGAGCTGCAGGTTAAGACTGTTAAGGTAAGAACTCCTGATTCATAGTCATGACCTAATTCTGACGTTCTGCTCTTGCAGTACTTCAAGAGCATCGAGAAGGTTGGACTTGGCAGGGGCTTTGAGCAGAAACTTCCTCTACGACTTCGAACATGTTCGCTTGCTAGCCCTCCCCAGACCCCTGACCTCAAATCACCAGGCCTGGCTTGGGCTGATGATCACCTGGTTGAGTTGACCCCCGACAGCATGTCATCGAGGATCGGGACGTGGCCTAAAGTCTGAGCCCTCTGTAAAGTAGGCGCCAGACGAGAGTGCTATAGAGGTTATATCTTGATTGAGGAGTTGGCGTTTTACTATCCCGGTTGTCCCTGGACAATTTTGGATATTGTTTACCTAGATTGACAAGCACGGCACCTGCGATGAGGCTGGGTCCAGCTTGCGTTTGCAACGACAAATGAAAGTCGGAATACCGCATATGTCCAGAAAGAGTTTCCTCATTGCAAAGGACCATCCAAAAAGGACATGTCAAAGCCTGCGTCGAGACTAGACTGGTTGAATATGTACCAAGAAGTGTCAAAGGTGCCATCTGGCTCAAAGCTCATGGCATCGCCCATCTGAGGCGTGCTCAGCCCTTGCAGTTTCGTTTCTAGGCGGTCGGCTAGAAAACCATGGAGGTTGGAATTGTGTTCGTGGGCTTTCCCGGAGCCTTCCTAGGTGAACTCTTACATTCTCGAGATCTAATGTGCATTCGTCAGAAAATCGTGCATCGCAAGGTGTAGGTACGGTGCTAACTGACCATCAGGCTCACCCACGCCGCCATCGACCCCTTGGATCACGATCAATGCCGCCCACGTAATCATCACAAGGTCAAAGTTGGACCATATAGACGAGTCGGCCACTTGCAACTTGACAGCCGCCCGAGCGGAGACTAGAAGCTCGTGTTGCTCCTTGGGTGTTGTGTTGGAGAACAAGTCGCTACCGCGGGCTGGGAGGTAGATTGAGAGAACCAACAGGCGGTGGAGGACGTATTGCCGGAACGTGAGCTTGCTCTGGTTATCTGCCTCCTCATTACGAGCACCAAATTCCACCAACCAGTCATCAAGTTGTCGGGCCCAGTCCCTGATGACGGCGGCATCAACACCACTGAACGACGATGAGTCGGACGTTGTCGGAGTATCGCTCGTGAAGCAAGCCCAGATGGTGGGCAGGCCCCTGCCTGTAAAATGGGTCAGGCCTGTGTGCATCATACGTGACAGCCTGTAGAGTTGGTCTTGCTGAGCTATGCGGAGGCGGGGAAATGGTGCTATCACTGGAATCACAGGGCATGAAAGATGAATGGAGGCGTGTTCCAGATCTACAATCTGTAATATTCATGAGCATGAGTTACCACTGCCAAACGCGTGACATCGCGTTATCCAAGGTGGCTTACCTGCAGGCCAGTAAACAATCTCTGCCACTCTAGCGACTTCTCATCCATATGAGGGGGACAATGCTCAAGAATCAGGCGGTATGCGACAGAGATCCATATCCCTGTCTCTTTGCTGACGCCCTCCCGAAGGAGACCAGCTAGAATGATCCCCAGGATTGTCTGAAATGCCCATTCTTCGGCCGCGCTTGGGTCTTTTGGCACCTTTCCGATCTCACTGGAGGGCATGCATAGCTGCGCAATGGCATTGCACAGGACAATGAAGTACTCAGCAGCATGTACAACCACCTCATCTGACCCCCTCATACTTGAACAGTATAGCATCGCAGCTAGCATCAACGGCGTTGGTGATGAGAAGGTCTGTTTGGTGGGGAGAAAGTGCAGCCCGAGCATTGTGTCGTGAAAGCTGAAAGCACACTGGATTAGTGCCATGATGAAGTGATCTCATAGATGACGACTTTTAATTACTCACCTGAGCCAAAGTCGCTTGATCAGTGGTTCTTCCCACAGCAGTGAGGTGGTGCCTGCAGAGCATGTATTCTTGAGCACTTGAATGGCAGGTCGCAGTGGTCGAAGGGAAGAATCCTCAGGCTCCGGACTTTCTAACATAGTACCGCTTTGTGTCTCGTTGTGGCGGCCATTCTCTCCTAGAGCATTCAACCCCACATGATCTTCGAGCCTTTGTAGCCGACGAAGTATGCTCTCATTAAGCTGTGATGATCTTTCATTGCGATGGGATGCATCACCGGGAGTGTATCCTTCGGTGTACGCAGCGGCCTAAAGTCCATGTGCGTTCATGTGAGAAACTTCTTCATATCAAAAAAGGCACGAGGTATCGTGTTGGCGATATTCATGAGGGCACATACATTAGCTCGAGGCACAAACACACAAGACACGCCGGTTCGCAAACACCTTCGACATGATGGACCCTGGTCAATTCTGCATTTCATCTGCCCGATCTGGTCAGACCGCGTGGCAAAGAACGGATTATTCAGCATCGCAATGCGAACCTTCTGACGTCGACAATTCACTGGTGGGCCTCGGTCAGCATCATTTGCGAGGCTGGAATGGAACTTGGGCCGGCCTCACCACAAGCTTTCCGCGACTTCACCGAAGCCTGGGCCTCTGGAACAGCCCCAATCACAGACGCATCCTGGTCGCTGGGTCCCAGTGGAAGAGGTGTCATCGCTTGGCAGGATTGTGGATTGCGCGGGGAACGTGAACGTGCAAAGACGATCGCGTACTGCTCAAGTCGGAGGAGCTGCCGGTAGTTTTGCAAAGACTTCGTTCTTTTCTCTCCGGTTCGGCCGGGTCGTCCACATTTTAATCTTATTGCTCGGTGATGAGCTCGGATAAGAATGACTCGGGCACCCGACGGTCGATCACCTCGGCTCGCCATTGGGTGGCAGTTGATTTACGCCTATCTTTGGGACCGGGCCGGGTTTGCCGGATCTACGTGCTTACAGGCGGATTCTCCCTGTTCACGTACAATTAAGGGAATGGGTTGAAGCCTATCAAGAAGGAAACCAGCACAGCATGGATGAGGTAGTTGGCTTGATGGAATGGACTGAGTTGAGCCCTTGCGACTTTCTCGATAAGCCTCCTTCGAAAGTCTCCTCCATTATCGCAACCTACCTGCGCGACTGGATGCCTACAGGCTGTTCGTGATGTCCACCGCCAAGCATCACGATGGTGCCACACAGCAGCCCCTAGACCCAACGGTAAGGGCAGAAGCCATTGCTCAGCACTTCGATGTGTCTTCTGAGATCTTATCAAGAGGCACTGAACATTTCGTCAAGCAACTTGGTATGCATCGTCTATGACTGTACCCGACTGGGTTGTAGTTTCCATTAACACCCACCTAGGAGATGGCCTCTTACAAGATGGCACAACACTGCTTCAAGTTCCATCATATGTTACCAAGTTACCCAATGGATTGGAGAAGGGTGTTTCTCTTGCAATTGATCTGGGTGGAACCAACCTGAGAGTTTGCTCTGTCGAATTGCATGGCGATTCCACTCATACTCTTACTCAGTCCAAGACCGCAATCCCCGCCGACTTGATGACGTCGAAGACGTACAAAAGCCTCTTCGATTTCATTGCAAGACACACCGAGGCGTTCATGCAGAAGCACATGCCCAAGCAGCTAGCTTCCTGGAGGCGGATTACTATGGATGGCAAAGTTACTGATGAACTTCGACGACAACACCTTCATTCCCTGGGATTTACGTTCAGCTTCACTTTCGACCAGCATGCCATCAACAAAGGCACGCTGATGTACTGGACCAAGGCTTTCAGCATAGAAGATGCTATCGGGCGCGACCCGTGTGCTATGCTGCAAGAATCTCTCGACAGTCTTCATCTCCCGCTCGAAGTAGCAGCTCTTGTCAACGACACGGTAGGGACGTTGGCCGCTCGTGCATATGCCTCGCCTGGCCATTCGGAGACTTTACTGGGTGCCATTTTCGGCACAGGAACGAATGGCGCCTATGTTGAAAGAATTCAAAATATCAAAAAGCTGCATGCACAACCAGAATTCTCAAAGGCTGACTCGGCGGAGTTCATGGCGCTCAACACAGAATGGGGCGGGTTCGACAACGAGCTGTCGGTTTTGCCCATTACCATTTATGACGAAGCTCTTGATGGCGCCTCAGTAAACCCCGACGATCAACACTTCGAGAAACGGATCTCGGGACTCTACTTAGGGGAGATCCTTCGAAGGGTTGTACTGATAGAGATGCAATCTACCACGCCAATATTCAAGATGACGGTGCCTTTGACATCTAGTCTACACTTACCGTACTCAATCGACAGCTCGTTTCTATCTGCCCTCGTTCGGGACCAAAGCCCAGGTCTTGAGAGCGCCCAGGAGGAGATAGTGAAGATTCTCGACGCCAGTCAAGTCTCTGTAAAGGATGCTGCGGCGCTACAGATTATCGCAGCATCAATCGGACGGAGGGCTGCAAGGCTATCTGCGATTGCTATCGCCGGCATCGTGGTCCAATCAGGCCGACTGAACAGCAGGTCAGAAAAGGCCGAGATCGCTAAACGACCGGTTGCACGAAAGTCCCTTCTTGCGCGTCTCTTATCGAGTTTCCGCAGAGCCCACAGTTCTTTCGTCCGCTGTGTTCGCCGTTGGCTCGTCAAAAGCAAGGATGAACCCAAAGCCACCGACGAGGAGGCATCAGACTCGGGCTATGCCAGTTCCGTTGGCCAGGATGAACCGTCACAAGAGGAGGGCATTATTGACATTGGGGTTGACGGATCGCTATTTGAGTTCTTCCCAGGCTTTGAAGCTCATATTCGAATTGCGTTGAAGGAAATTCCGGCAATCGGAATAGAAGGCGAGAAGCTCATACGAATGGGCGCCGCGGCAGATGGGAGCGGTGTGGGAGCAGCATTGATCGCATGGGCATCCACGAAGTCGTGATCGTCGTGTACGGCTTTCGCCACAACTAGCATGACTACATAAACATGGATGAATAAATGAAAGACCTTCCTACGAAGGGAAAACAAGTTGAGATTTACATTGATACTCGTTGAAACATATCTTGACACTCAATGTGTGGCACTTTGTGTTCAGGGAGGCATCGCTGCCGAAACATACCTAAGATGAGTCGCTCATCGCTTCGTCACAAATAAGAATGGCAGTCCCCATATCATCATGGATTGATGGCACACAATGTAATTTCAAACATCGATTACTATGTAAAGGCGCAGACGCCTATTCTCATTTATTCCTCGGCATCAAGTCTGCGCTTCACAGGAGATTGACGTCGAGGACAATGTTCGGTACTCCGACAAAACCCGGAGGCATCGAGTAGGTAAAGTTCCAGAACTCAAAGTCGCGAAGAAGAGAGTCGCTGCCGCCATAGGCGCCAGCGAATGAAAGACCATAAGTCTCGTTCACGTTGCCCGAGACCTCGACCTTGAGACCCTGGACGTCCTCCCAGCCCCCAACGTTAGGCTTGTTGGCAAAAGTGGCGACAACAAGGCTGAAAATAGAGCTGGCGGTACCGTAGGGGTATGTTAGGCTCAGCTTGTTAGGGCTGACCTCGACGTCGAGAGCCTTCTCAGTGGGGTAGAGCTAGAATATGTTAGTCCTGCAATTGAGAACAAGAGAGCCTGTACCAGGTCTTACAGAGATGAATGCGATCTGGCTGCCGGTGTCCCACTGGATGACGGCAGGGTTGAACGCCTCCTGGTTCCTTGCTGGGCCGCCGATCACGATCTCGTCAAAAGACTCAGCACCGATAGTGAGCTTCTCTGACAGCCAGGTAGTGATGTTACGAGGAACATTATCGAATGGAGGATATGAGGCTGTGGCTTTGAATGTGTGCTCGCCCTGGAAAGTTCCGAGCTTGGACACAATGTCTTCGGGAACCAGGCTTTTATGCGCATCAGCGAGAACGGCAAAAAGGGGCGCCCAGGCGTAATCAGCCGCGTGAGACATGACTTGAGGCTGTGAAGGTCAGTTATCTATTCGGCCAGACAATCGCGAGCACGATTCGACCTACCTTGGGAATCAACGAAGAGTTCTCCTTGCCGATCAGAGTCCAGAACCACAAAGCCATCAGGCTCACGTAGCGGTTCATATCGTAACCGTACGAACGATCCCAGGGACCAGCCATGTTCTTCATGCCAGGGTGCCAGAGATCAGAAACAGCCTTCCAGGTGTGCTCGATCATGCGGGGGCCGTTCTTCGTCATGACTGAGTCCTCCGGCAGATACTTGCTCCACAACACGAGGCCGAAAAGGGACACACCCGTGTAGGTTCCCGAGTTGAACTCGGAAAGGGTGTTGTCGAGGTTGAAGAGATCGATGATTTCTTGGGCGTACCTCTCTCCGGACCTAGTCATGTTGCACTCTTTAAGACGGCGGCCGGTCCAACCGGAGACAAACGCGCGCATTATGGACTTTGGTCCATGTGTCAACGGAGTGCCCGAAGACGAGACTGCATGTTACTTACGGGATTGCTGTATGCGGGATACAGGTTGTCTTTTGTCTTGTCCAGATTTCCGAAGCGGTATTCGTCGCCCTTGGTAGCGTTGTAGAGCGACTCAAGGATTAGGCCCTGAGTGCTGTTGCTCACTAAATGGGGAAATTCCTCCATCACCATGACCAAGGTGGTGCCAACGAAGCCGCGCCAGTTGGGGTCCCAAGTACCATAAATGGATGGGGGATACTGGGGAATTCCAACATAAGGCTCCTCCGGCTCCTGCTGGTAGTTACCGAACCTACAGTGTGTCAGGGCCCAAAACAATATCACAAGATCAGGACCATTGACTTACCACTCTTCCGACTCGACCCTGTACTGGCCATGGATGGTATTGGTAATGATCTTATCGGCCTCGGCAGCGTCATTGCCTTCATTTCGAGCCAATAGACCCAAAGCGTACCAGACAGAGCTTCTAGTCTCGTGCCGCAGAGCAGCAGAGTTGCTAAAGTCATACAAGTAACCGGCATTGGCGTCGTAGTAGTCGTCCATCCACTTCATAGACTCCAAAAGGAGGCCCTGCGCTTCAGGTGTCAAAGACTCAACGTACGACGAGGCGCCTGCAGCAGTACCCGTCAGGGCCACCAGAGCCCAGGGGACCATAAGAGAAAGAGACGAACGCATTTTGGCAGCTTTTGACAGGAACCGAAGAAGAGGACTAAGGAACAGAGTGCGGTGAAGCGAGCTCGGATGCTACGTCAAGCAGGGGCATCATGGCTTCAAATACCAACGACGATCGTAACCAAATGGGTTAAACTGTCGTGTGCGTCGCCTGGTAGTATCGTCGGCACCCCACAATTACCAAGAATCAAGGATAAAGCCCATATCCGTGATTGTGGGCCTCGTCCCAACCTTCCCCGCAAGAGCCGCCGTCATCGGTCATTCCGGGGGGAAGAGGTCGTGTTTCCTTGTTGTAGAGGAGTATCCTCGGCTCTGGGGATCCACGCGATGTGACCCGACAATGTCACAATGTGGGAGGTCGGAGAACTGCTTCACAGCAGTTATCGACCCGGTCCGGGTTTGCCGGGTACCCCTCATGCCCAACCATCCCAGATAGCGGCTCCTCATGGGACGACCCAGATAACCCACGATAGGGGTCTAGGGTCCAACGGGGAATGAACCCAGAGTCGGGTCCATAGACCTGCTCATTATCTTTGCAGACGTATCACGCGACGATAGAGCTAAGTGTGCCGAACATCCGGCACAAGACACTGAGTACGGGGTCGGTGAACCGGCACAATGTTTGACGGCGCGACCTGTCGGATATACTCGTTGAGTCAACTATAACTCCTCCCATGTGCCCGGTTTCTGCTCGTGGCTCAAGGAAGTATTCCACAAGGTAGAACCCCAGACTCACGCCCCTGCCTCCACAACAGAAAGCCGAAAGTGTGCGATAAACCTGATGAGTTCTCCCGACGGCAACATCGTGGCGGCGCCTAGTGTCAAAAGAAGTTTGGAGGCGACCGACATGAAGGAAATGGTAGACGCCGATGAGCTCCGGCTCGCTCAAATGGGTAGGTTGGCCCTTGTTGCGACTTTGTGTCGCATCGTGATACACAAGACAACTCTAAGCTCTAACATTGATTGGTTCGAAGGCCATACCCAAGAACTCAAAAGACACTTTAGCACCCTCAGCCTGATTGGCCTTGCTTCCACGACGACCATTTCCTGGACCGGTCTGGGTCTGGGTCTGATCACCGAGATTGGAGCTGGCGGCCCGGGCGCTGTCATCTACGGCTTCATCCTCGTCACAACTCTGCAGTGTTTCCTCGGTGCTTCGCTGGCCGAGTTTGTCTCCTCGTATCCGACCGAGGGAGGCATGTACCACTGGATCGCTGCTGTGGCGCCACGGAGGGCCACCGGCCCCCTAAGCTTCTTCACAGGCTGGTTCAGCGTGCTTGGCTGTATGACATGACATACATGATGCGAGGAAACGCTGTTCACTGACAATTTTTTGAGGGATTTTCACCACTGCTTCGACAAACATTATCTACGCCCAGATTCTCATGGCATTGATTGCTTTGTACAACGAAACCCTTGAAATCAAGGCTTGGCAAACTTTCATCGTGTATCAGGGGCTAAACCTGATCACTGCCAGCATCGTCATGTTCGGCAACCGCATTATTCCCGGTCTGAACAAATTCTCCTTGTTTTACCTCCAAATCGGATGGCTCGTAGTCTTGATCACCGTGGCGGCGTGTGCACCTACGCACCGAAGTGCAGAGTTTGTCTTCAGGACATGGATCAACAATACCGGTTGGGAGAACCAGGTCATCTGCTTCATCACCGGTCTCGTCAACCCTCTGTACAGTCTGGGTGGCTTGGATGGTGTCACTCACATCACCGAGGAGATGCCCAACGTAAGTCGCCCGTGAGTAAAAGGTATCATATGAAGCAGACAGCTAATTCCGTCTGACACCAGCCGTCGCGCAATGCTCCTCTTGCGATCGCAATCACCCTGATCATTGCCTTCTGTACTGGCATCACCTATCTCATCACCCTCATGTTCTCTATCCAGGATTTTGACGCACTTACCACCAACAACACCGGCCTGCCGCTGGCGGAGCTCTTCCGTCAAGTCACGCAGCACGCAGGAGGCGCGTTCGGCTTGACTTTCATCTTGTTCGTCGCTCTAGGCCCCTGCGTCGTAAGCTCCCAATTGAGCACAGGCCGTGTTTTCTGGGCCTTTTCTCGTGATGGCGCCATGCCGTTCTCCAGGATGTGAGTCGAGTCGCTCCCAATGACATAGACAAGGGCTTTGTCACTGACTTTTCTCCTCACCTAGCTGGGCCAAGGTGCACCCTCGACTTCAAATCCCTCTGAACTCGCAGATTGCCGTGACTACAGTCGTCGCGCTCCTCGGCTGCCTCTACCTCGGATCGTCCACAGCCTTCAACTCGTTGCTTGGCACTGCCGTTACGATCAACAACATGTCCTACATGGTTCCGATTCTGACGAACCTCCTCACCGGTCGGAGAAACATGCATCGTGGCGTTTTCCACATGGGCAATAGGATCGGCCTGATCGTGAACACAGTCACGGTCTGCTGGCTCACATTCGCTATAGTCTTTTTCTCGTTCCCCTACGTCCAGCCGGTCACTGTCCAGAACATGAACTATACTTGCGTCGTCGTTGGGGGCCTCGTCATACTCATTTCGGGGTGGTGGTTCCGGGTGGGATCCGAGTATACTCAGACAATGCTCAAGGCGAAGGAGGAGTAGGATGGGACGGGGAATCAAGAGCGACGGATAGATTTCATACCATAACAGTCAGTTTCAACCGTTGGGTGGCAATACAAAGCACTCAATTTGAGTCATCACAAAAATCAGGGCTTCAAAAGTTTTCTTAACAAAACAAGATCTTGCCGTGCGGTTTCTGAATATCGTAGCGAACAAAGGCAAAAGTTTTCCGAACCAGGGAATCGAACCCTGAGCCTGACGGTGAGAGCGTCAAATGTTAGCCATTACACCAGTTCGGATGGTTGACAATCGAGCAGGAACATTTTGATTATATCCTATTATTGCACTGAGCCTCACCTCACTCCTTCCACCACAACACATGCCACACTCCGCGATACACACTTTCCAGTTGGACTGGATGATTGAAATTCTTCTGCATCGAGAACGAGAAGCAGAAACGGTCATTTCCCTTCCAGCTTAAAGCTTCATTTGGGCCGTGTGGGGTCGATCGTCGGGACGGGTACCGCTGCTCCTTAGACAGAATCGGAAAATTTGTGCTCGGAATAGTCTGATGTCGTGGGACTTGTCAGGCGTCCTGGAGCTCTGGTAGCGACTGACGTTTTGTCCCGCCCTCGGACTGGACTGTACAGACCGGACCCGTAAGATTCCGTCGCAGACGGTGAAGGACTGAGGGAGTTCATCAGTAATCGCATGGGACGCTCAACTTCCCATGCCATGTGCGATATAATCCGGGTCGTGGGCGCCAGGATCAGCGGCAATTGGCCTACGAGCACTGTCTTGCTCGGATTAAACGACTGCCGAATGCCTGGCAGCTTCTTCGTCGTGAGCTAAGTTCCAGCCTCCTCAGCAAACCACAAAGGCCAAGTCGAAGACTAGCGATCCACCGAGATGATTGCCCGTCCGAGACCCTGTCAGCGGGCGCGCCCCCAGGGCACCGGTTCAATAATGACATGAGGGGTGGGCGCGCACGGTCGCGACAGCTGGACTTGTCGCGAGTCATTCTGGGGGAATACGCCCCGAGGGGCTGAGAGGCAAGGCGAGAGCTTTTGGTACGGGTAATTCCTTCATTTCCACCTGCTTGGCTTCGCGATAAGTCGTCTCGCGAACAACGGAAGTCGTTCCACACTGGCTATCAAATGATCCTTTACTTGTCAAAGGGTCCTCCATCCGCTTCTGCCGCTTCTGCTTGACTCTCGTGGGATGCTTGCCGCATCCACATCGCCACCGCTTGTCAAAAGCCACCACATGGTGAACGACTCGTGCCTGTAACCGTCCACGGCGCTGTCATTGTGTTGGTGGATACGATCGATCAATTTCAGATGGGACCACCATGAGTTGATGGGGCATGATGCACTCGCTTACCCCTGAGAACTGTCGATCCCTCCTTAACGTTTTCGCGAATCGCTATGCCGGCTGCGTGGGAACAGCAAGGGCTGATGATCTGGGTACCAGCCGACCGCCGGCCGGCCGGAGAAAATCGCGAGACGCACAGAACGATGGCTCGGTCGCTTGGTGAGCCGTGAGACGATCCCTTACGCTGACAGTGCTGTGAGCCATGACCCGTCGGCAAGTCGCCTTCCCTGCCTCCCTTCCCAAATCCCTAGTTGCCACGCGAGAATTGCTCGCTACAAGGTCCAAATGTAGCTGCCGAGGACGCCTCCTCGTGAAGAAACTCCGCCATGGGGACGAGCTAAGGCGTCGCTTGCAGATCGAGGCTCAGGTCCAGGCACTGGCCCATGGACTGCCAGCCAACGAGAGCCATCTCCACTAGATACGCCATTAACGCCCTTGCTGGGCCTGGCAACCCTCCGTCCGATGGTGTCAGACTTTTGTTAGTTGGTTTGATCTGCCTGTCTTGGGACACCACCCGACCCCGGAAGACGGCCTCGACTCCTAAAAGCCCGATGTCCTCCTCCCCTTCTTCCCGGGTCGCGATTCGTCAAATAAGAGTGACACCCAAACCTTCCTCCCAAACGACGGCGATGGTACAAGCAGGTTGAACCCTTCAGCCAGCCAGGAGTTGAATTGTGTTCATCAAAACCGATCGTCG